TTTAAATCTTTATACTCAAGTAACTGTTATATATATTTAAAGAAATATTGAACTTAAGTTGAATGTCATTTGTATTGGGATTGAAATAGGAATTATATCTAATAAGATTTTAATAAAGGCTACTTTAGTAAAAAAAATAAAAATAAACTTTACAGGCACAAGAAAGTTCAACTGTAGGCAATCATACAACTTTTTAATCCCTAATGTCTTAACTTGTTTTTTACCATAAAAACGTGATAAGAAAAAAAAAAGAACAGCTGCAAATATGTATAAAGAAAAACTTAATCTCGCCTTTATTGTCTTATTGAACTTTATTTGTAAGATCATAAATTTATAAACTAAAATGTGTTTCTCTAAATTTTTTACCATGCAGCATTGTCAATATCATTCGTCCTATGCGAAATATTTTTATTTTTTCTAAAACGTATTAATAAAAAGAAGTGTTTTTACTTCAAAAAGTATTTTGAGTATCTATACTTTTACCCTTACAAATTTGATATTAACTCATGTATCTTCAAACCAATTAATTAATCTCTAAATTCTCTCTCTTTCTCTATCTCTCTATGTATAACTCGTGGCTGGAAGAAAATCATAAATATTGAATTTAAGGATGAAAAAGAATTATTTTCATAAATTGAAAAATTAATTTATTGAATTACAAATATACAGAATAAAGTCAAATTTGAAGAAATTTTAGAAATTAATTTATTTTTCTTAGAAAGTGAGAAAGAAGTTGTGTATGTAAACTTCGCGCTTTTTTGAAAGCTTTACCAATAAAAGTTTTCATTTTATTACTGAAAATTCCATTAGTTGTATATATAAAATCACTCGTCACATGGACTGTCAATATTTTTTTTTCTTTATCCAGATTAATGGTATTAATGGTGTGCATGTATGTTATAACTTACGTAATATAATAAGCCTCCTTGTGTACGACTTTTTTCAGCAAAGAGTATCTCCTATGTTAAGTTTTGTGTTTATTATAATTATTTAAATTAATCTGAAGTTGGAAACAAAACATCACAGTGAAAAGTTATTTTAAACAACATGATATAAATCAACAACTTGTTTTAAAAGAATGATTTTCTTTCCACTCCTATATAAATGATTATTTTATTAAAAAAATAGGTGTAAAGTAGATATTTTTAATGATTAGTGGTGATAAAATATGATTTCCTATCGAATTCCCATGTTCTTCCCAGCAAATAGCAGTGAATAAAGAGATGAAAAGACGAAATATTAGAATATTAAGTATATTCCTGGTTAGGACTAAAGATCCACCAAATAAGGGGTTATGGGCGAAGATGTTGGATCGGGTTCATCTTCCAACCACCCATTTCCATAATCCATATAAATTAGAATTGTATTATTATCTTGACACCCAACAAAATTTCACATACGTTTTATATCTATTATTTTATTTTTTCTTTTTTAATAAAAAGTAATTTTTTTAATAATCAAAATACTCATATAAATAAATTATCAAGTGGTATAAAAGAACATCTCCCTTTCATCAATATTCTAACACTTGTGAATGTTTCTAAAAAATAGACAGGTTCCTGTCAGACTCCCAACTCCTAACACTCCTAACACTCCTAATCATGGATCTCGATCCTTACTACACTTTCGATGTAATCGTTTCATGAATATTTGAGTTTTTCTTTACAATGTTACAGTAACATTATTAGGGTTATGATTAGTTATTATTTCTCAGATATTATATGCTTTAGAGTTCAAACTTTTAGTATGACTTTATTCTTAAAAAACTACTCAAAAGATTAAGTAAAAAATATATATTTAAATGATATTTAACTCTATAAACTTAGTTCTAATTTTAATAAGAAATGCTTGTATTGATTGTTTATAAGTATCAGTAATAATATTTAATTTTTAAAGAGGTTGTGAATATATATATATATATTAAGAAAAACACATTTTTTTTTCAAACTTTTAAATTAGGAAGAAACGGCTTCTAGTAAAATAAAAATTATCAACCTCAATTATCACTTATTATTAAAAATAATGAGTAATATTATTGAGGATTTTGAAGACACATAATTAGTAGTTAAAATTAGATTATGAATATAATTGGAATGAGTTAGAATTTGTCCCACACATGAGACGCTTAAACAGGTGGGTGATGTGAAACATAAGATGGCATCATAATAATTAAGAAAGGATGAATCTCTAAAACTACCTTCGAAAATAAAATATCGATTCCTAAGACTTTTTGTTTCCCCGACAAATATGGAACGAGAATCCATTCACAACATCATTCAGGATTCTCTTCTTTCTAAAATGGTAGTAATTACGTTTGACCAACGAACCTACAGATAGAGATAATGATTATCTTTATGGTTTAATCCTTTTCGACATCTCTATTTATGTACGAATGTCTCAATTGGGTCCTCGTTTTTTAAAGTGTATCAAAATGGTCCTTAATTTTGAAAATTGATATCAATTGAGTCCTTTCCGTTAAGTTGATTGGACAGCGTTAAAAAATTGATGAGTGGATGCTGAGATGACGAACGAACGCTCGTCCACCAGCGAACGAACGCTCGTCCACCAGAAAACGAACGCTCGTCGACCTCTTACTGCTGGACGACCGTTCGTTCCACACTGGACGACCGTTCGTTCGGTGGTCGACGAGCGTTCGTTCGCTGATGGACGAGTGTTCGTTCGCTGGTGGACGAACGTTCGTTCGTCATCTCAGCATCCACTCATCAATTTTTTTAACGCCGTCCAGCCAACTTAACGGAAATGACTCAATTGATATCAATTTTCAAAATTAAGGATCATTTTGATACATTTTAGAAAACGAAGACCCATCTGAGACATTCGTACATAAATAGGGATGTCGAAAAGGATTAAACCTATCTTTATTCTTCTTTTCAATTCAATTTATTTTCCTACTTTCTCTCCCATTTTCAGGTACGTTAAGATTTTATAAACCTATATTTTTATACTCTAATAAAAAATTTGAAGACTGCTTTTACTCTCTTTTAAAAATAAATTGAAGTCGTCACTGTAATTGATAAAAAACTTGAAAACATGTGAATTTGTGTAGCTTTTCTTTCAGGGTCGTAAAAGTACTTTTACGATCTAATCAGGATCAAGATTAAAAATTGTTCTAAATTGCTATTTAGTATGACTTATTGGTATGATTAAATAAATTATGTAGTCGGTAGAGAGCGAAAGGAATTATAAAAAATTTACAGCAACATATCCGCGCGTATTCAAACCCAAGTTATATATTTTATTAATACACGTGAATTAAATGAGTGTCTCTTCATAATATTTATAGATTATAATATAATTAAGTTTTTAACTTATGAATATCTTTTAATTATTTTTTTGGTCTAACTAACATTTTACAAAAATTATTTTGTTCTAACTTAGATTTGAAGCATCTATTTTTAGACATATAACAAGATCTTTGTAGTGACTTAAATTTTCTCTATGTTTATAATCAAATATTTCTTTGTTCAAAGAGATAATATCAGCTTGCAAAAGACTTTTTAATGTTCAAATCAGTAAGAGAGCTTTAGGATCTATATAAATGTATGAGTAAGTAAAAAAAATTGTGTATTTCTTGGTGCAATAACATGTGTATTTATAGGTTCTGTAATGTTTGTTATAAAAGTTGATAATATAAAAAGTATATCAAATATAACAACTTACCACGTATATGATAATTGACAAAAAAATAAAAACAATATGATACCTTATCTGGTATACCAAATATTTTGAAAATATATGATATTAAGAAAGATCATAACAAAATTAAACTACATTTGATCATATATTGTTAATATATTAATATCACTTAAACAATGACTTACTAATATATTAATATCACTTAAACAATGAGTTACTAATATATTAATATCACTTAAACAATGAGTTACTATCACATGCATATCTAATGTTAGTCAAATGTTAACATTTAAGTAATGAAACATATAATTTAAGTTATGATTTGTAACATAAACTATATATGTTAAGATAATTTTTTTCTCATTTGAATTAAGTGAAAACTTGAGTGATAGAAGGTTTAGACGTTAAGATGTGAGGATGGTATATAAAGTTTCCTTAACATGTTACCAAGTAACTACACATCATCATTTAAATAATGATGTAATTACTTAAGCGATGAGATGAGAGTGTGCTTAGAATTTTGGAAATTGTTCAAATATACAATGAGTTAAGTAAGTAGTTTTGTAACCACTCAAATATGACAAATAAAAAAATAATCATATTATTGGTTTCAATTGAATTTGAGTTATAATAGATGAAAACATATCAATAATAATAGATTTTATCGATAAAAATAAAAATTGAATTACAATTTTATTAATTAATACCTGAACCGATATTAATATCATTATTATTTTCTAAATAAAAGTAAACATAAGTTTTACATTTAGTCTTATTTAATATTTTATATATATATAGTTAGTACAATAAGCATATAGGTCTTAGTTGTATGTACATAATATGCGAGTATAATATGTTTTTCATAGCGTTATATGTCATCTACATTATTTTCAGTTATAAAGGATAAAAGAAATACACGGCGGCTTCATTATCAAATCCGAATCTAACTGTACTGAGATAATTTGACAATTAATCATAAAAAAAAAAGGGTGACTTCATGGTTTTTTTCTCGACGCAACTTCAAGTTTTAGTTAAATGAGGCACGACGGGATGTTAATTTAATTAACTAATGATGATATTTGTTCATTTATACAATAACAATTATTTAGCAGTCTAATAGGACTACTTAATCTGACCACATAAAATAAAGTTCATAAATGATAAATAACTACTATAATTGTTTTTTTATATTTACATGTTACTAAAAGTAGTAAATGATTGCATTTGTTATTTATCCAAATAAAAAGAGACAATAGAAATTAATAATTCACGGTATTAAGTGATATGATAGGGAATAGAACACGTGTTTGTGGCCAAGAGAGATATTTAGTCGCTTGAATTCGCATTAACCGAGTCAATATTTTGTAAGAACGTGAAACATGATACCCTAACTCGCGTTGCTCGCTCGCTGATTTGACTCGTCTCGAGTGTATTTAACTGATTTGACTCGTCTCGATTGTATTTAACTTAGCCGTGGACGACCGAGTGTTCATCTCCTTCGTTTCATTTCAATTCAAATCAAAACCTCCTTTCTGTTAATCTAAATAATAACAATATGAAGATCCAGTGCGATGTCTGTAACGAACACCAGGCTTCTTTATTCTGCATCNATTAATTAATACCTGAACCGATATTAATATCATTATTATTTTCTAAATAAAAGTAAACATAAGTTTTACATTTAGTCTTATTTAATATTTTATATATATATAGTTAGTACAATAAGCATATAGGTCTTAGTTGTATGTACATAATATGCGAGTATAATATGTTTTTCATAGCGTTATATGTCATCTACATTATTTTCAGTTATAAAGGATAAAAGAAATACACGGCGGCTTCATTATCAAATCCGAATCTAACTGTACTGAGATAATTTGACAATTAATCATAAAAAAAAAAGGGTGACTTCATGGTTTTTTTCTCGACGCAACTTCAAGTTTTAGTTAAATGAGGCACGACGGGATGTTAATTTAATTAACTAATGATGATATTTGTTCATTTATACAATAACAATTATTTAGCAGTCTAATAGGACTACTTAATCTGACCACATAAAATAAAGTTCATAAATGATAAATAACTACTATAATTGTTTTTTTATATTTACATGTTACTAAAAGTAGTAAATGATTGCATTTGTTATTTATCCAAATAAAAAGAGACAATAGAAATTAATAATTCACGGTATTAAGTGATATGATAGGGAATAGAACACGTGTTTGTGGCCAAGAGAGATATTTAGTCGCTTGAATTCGCATTAACCGAGTCAATATTTTGTAAGAACGTGAAACATGATACCCTAACTCGCGTTGCTCGCTCGCTGATTTGACTCGTCTCGAGTGTATTTAACTGATTTGACTCGTCTCGATTGTATTTAACTTAGCCGTGGACGACCGAGTGTTCATCTCCTTCGTTTCATTTCAATTCAAATCAAAACCTCCTTTCTGTTAATCTAAATAATAACAATATGAAGATCCAGTGCGATGTCTGTAACGAACACCAGGCTTCTTTATTCTGCATCGCCGACGAAGCCGCCCTCTGCGACGACTGCGACCACCGTGTCCACCACGCCAACAAGCTCGCCTCCAAACACCACCGCTTCTCTCTCACCCACCCCTCTGCTAAGCATTTTCCTCTCTGTGATATTTGCCAGGTACATCAACTAATAACAATTATATGTTAATTACTATAATTATTACATTAATATTGTTACTTATTATTACATGGTTTAGTTTGAGTTAACGAGTTTGCGTTGTGTTGTAGGAGAAAAGAGCTTTTGTGTTTTGTCAGCAAGATAGAGCAATTCTGTGCAAAGAGTGTGACGTGTCCATTCATTCTGTCAACGAACTCACCAAGAACCATAGCAGGTTTCTTCTCACCGGGATCAAGTTTTCTACTTCCGCCATACCTTATTCTTCTTCTTCTTCTTCATCATCATCATCAGCAGCAGCAGCCAAGAAAAACCCTGTTCTCGATACTTCACACCCACCTTCCAATCCTCCTTCAACACCCTCACGGCCTAAGCCTGGAGGAAACTTGCAAACAAATCAAGAACCTGGTTTTACTGGTAGCAGCATATCAGAGTACCTGATAAACACTATCCCAGGCATGAAGTTCGAAGATTTTCTCGATTCCCATTCAACCTTTGATTGCTCTAAGGTTAGTTTGTTCTGCTTCCAACCTTCCATCAATTAATTGCCGACCATATTTAGTAATAAAAATGTTTCTTTTTTATTTTACAATTGTTGGGGCAACTGATGTTGGTTTTATTGGATCTGCGATTAACACGTTGATGTTGAATATCAGAATGGTGATGAGATGCTGTCGGTGTTTGGTGAGGGAAACATGGTTTCGTTCTCCTCTGGTGGGATCTGGGTTCCTCAAGCGCCACCTTCTGCTGCTGCATACTGGGAACAGATGGGTGAGCAGAATGGGTACAGAGAGGGAAGGAAAGGTAGCGTCAGATCAAGTTTGGGCGATGATAATAATTTCGAAGTTCCTCAGATGAGTCCTCCCAGCAACGTTTCGAAGAAATCCAGGTTTCTTTGGTAGAAATCCAAGTTCGTGTGGCTTCGTGTGACTTGAATTTCTCTCCCCTTGCTTTATACTATAAATTTGTTTTGTTTCCTTCTTTATAATCCTCAACTACACTCTGCTAGCTGCTCCTCTCGAGTTATCTACATATTACTGTATCTCTTCTAAATTGTAAATACCAACGTTTCGGCAGAGCTCTCTGGGTTCAAAGTTGGAATTTTTTTCTGTTTCTGCTGCATGTTAGAAAACAACCAAGCTTTTAAAATTAGAAGTAAACGCTTATCGGATCTGGAGAAAAGTCTTAAATACATTACTCTGTTAAACATTATGAGAAATAGACTACACCACTATTATCTGGTGACAAAGATAACTTTGGTCTATGCAAAAATAGAAAGACGAAGAGTTTGTTTCCTCCATGGTCTCTAAATTAAAGAGCATCTCTTATTATTAGATATTAGGAGTTTTTTCTAAAAAAATATTTTCAAAATATACTTCAAGTGGTATATATATAATATGTTGATAAAAATTGTTTAAATTACAAGTTATCTATTCCTCACAATTAAAAATATTATCTCAATAAATACTATTATACATCATAATTAAGTCTAGATGAGAAATCTAAAATAGTAAATTATTTAGAATTGTTTGATATTTGTTTCTTGGAACAGAGACAACAATTGAACTGAAAATTACTTTAAAATAGTAAGATATTGTATGACACGCTTTTCACATCTTCGAACGATAAAAACTGCTCATAAATGGTTCCGTTAGAGACAGACGTCCCTGAAACTTGGAAACCTAAGACTACGATGAAATCGTTGAACTTTTCGTTAAGGATAATGTGAAACTAATTCTGAAAAAAGGAAAATGTTTTATCAATAAATTTTTTAATAATTTTTTATAATTATTAACGTGATAATTTGTGATTGGTTGATTTTAAATGTACGAGTTAATAAAATAGTGACTTATAATTTATTATAAAAAGAAATTGTTAAGAAGAATTGTTAACCAGTCGTATAGTCCTGAGAAAAATAACCAATAGATATCAAATTCAGTCCAATTTGGAATTACAAGTTCACCAGAGATCCGAGAATTCCACTTGCCTTAAATATTCACACCGCGTAAACAAAAGGACAACAGACTCAGGCGATATTATTTTTACTCGCTTTTACATGTCAATTTTTGAAAATAATTTTTAATCTTTAAAAATGATTACTTATATATTTTGCATTTATTTTATTTAGCATGTCTTTGTTGCGACATTGAAAGAGATGTAAAAGAAAATGAAAACAGAATATTGAATATTGGAGGCAGAGGAACTTTTCCAACATTTTAATATATTGAGAAGAAAGTTTAATGAATACACACGATACCTAAGTTCAAGCATATAAGATTCACACCATTTTTAGCTTAAAATTTAAAGTCAATAGATTTATAGGTTTTTATCTTGATCATCCTCGTAATTTTCATTTTCGTATTGAAAAAAGGTTGTGGTAAAGAATTTGTTATTGTTGTGAGGTTTGGCTTAGACAATAAACGACACGACAGGAGTAGGTAAAAACAGTTTGCGATGAAAAAACAGGATTGGTTATATCATGAACACTGCCCTATAATTTATCATCACGCTGTCAACAATTATTGTTCATGTTTGATTGGCCAACAAAGTATCAAATCTTGTCAAATCTCCCCTCCATAAAATAAAATATAAACAAATACATTATTGCACTGTCATATATAAATATTTTAAATTTGGAACAACACTTGTTACAGTTCGACTGAGTCATATATACGAAAAAAGATCTGCTGGAAATTGTTTATGGCTACACTAAGAAAGTGACATTAAGAAAATGTAATAGAAAAGATAAAAGTTATAGGAAAATCCGAAGACATCCAATGTACTTTAGGGAAAAGATTTAAAAGAAGGCGTAGTGGTGGTACCTTCCTATTTTTTAAATGGTCAATTTTCATCACTCCTTCGCATGATCCACATTATATAATTCCTGTTCTGTTACCATGTTACCAAATCTGTAGTATTTAGTTTCTAAATATACATTTTAAAACAAACCCCACCTTTACAATTTACTTTTTCAGAAATAAAGATTGTTAAAAACTTTATATTAATATTAAAATATTGAATAAATAGAATTTTGATAACATCACAAAGTTATTCAACAGTAAAGAGTATTTGATAAGTGTATTCCGGTAATTAACCATTTGAAGACTTAATTCATGAATTAAAAGCTCAAAATAAGAACCGCAAGATCTAAGTAATTATTATTGTATTTTTTAAAATAGTTTATGTATTATTGGTTTTACCAGAAAGAAACAAACTTAAAACATTTTTTTTTCTTGGAAAAAGTTATTCAAAGTGAAAGAGAGAGAATGACAACTATGACCTTCAAAAGGAAAAGGTACAATACAATTCACATATTATGAGTTAGATGGTATTTTTTTGAATTTCATAAGATAATAAAGTAATAAAATAAAATTAGGTGAGTTGATGAACCAATCCGACTCACCACGGGTCAATCCAAATGAACCGAGTTTAAATAAAACGAGTTTAAAATTGACCTGCATAAAAAGAATACATTTTTTTAAACTCAACCTAACTCAAACATGTGATGAGTCGGATTGGCTTGCAGATTATAACACATTCTGACAACTTTATTTTTGTATTTGAAGTTGTTTCGAGTATATTCATACGTTTCTGTACCACTAATATATTTTAAAAATTGAGATCATCGTTGAATTGATCTAAGACGCATTCAAAATCTATTTGTCAAATAGGAGGTTTAAACCATAATATAATAACATATTTTATAAATTTTCAACATTCAAAATACAAGAATAAAATAGAATATATTGTTTTGGTTTAAATTTCAATAATAATAACAATATTATTTAATAAACAACAAGTTTCTCTTAAAATGCTAAACATTTTACATTATTTTAAAGAACTAATAGAAAAATAAAATAAATAAATAAAATTAGAATAATACATTAACACACTTTAAAACTGATTTTCTCTTATTTTTAACCGTTCATTTGAATAAAATAAATTTTATTATTATTATTATTATTATTATTTTGTTATTATTGTTATTTTTATTTTTCTTCTTATTATAATTTTTGTTATTATTATTATTATTATTTTCGTGATTGTTATTATTGTTAAGTAAGTTTTTAATTTTTCCTTAAAATTAAAATTAGTTTATTTAGAAATTTTGGTCTAATTTTGTAAAATTTTGAAAAGAAATTAATTTTAATTTCAATTAAAAATTAAGATATTACATATTTAAACTTTATTATTATTATTGTTATTATAATAATAATAATAATATTGTTGTTATTATTATTAATTATGGAAGCATCAAAATTCATGGAAATTGATTATTGAAAGAACCAAATAATGGGAATCGATTCCCTCACTTCATATGCACCCGCAAAATCAATTCCATCTCCACATGTGCATTCACAAAAATCGATTCCATCCCATTTATGAACATATAATCGATTCCATCCCCACACATAATCCATAGTCCATTGTTCCACATTTTCAACCTCTTCACCAGCATCACAAACCATGTTTATGCAGAACCTCTTTCACAATTTCAGAGGTAAATTTTTAGTATAATTCTAATTTTATTCCCTATATATTTTTAAGTTCTCATATATTTTAAAAATAATTTTTTCTATCGTTTATTAACAATATGACAATATAAATAACGTTTTGCTCATAATGACGAAACTTAAATATACAAATTTTTTTCTCAGTTATATATATATATATATATAGTTTTGATGTTATGAGTAACTAAAGGTTGACATTTTACGTGTTGACTAAACTTTTGACATTATTGAGCACACGTTTCATTTCTAAATATTAATATAACATTATTTTCTAAATACATTAATATACACATATATAAATTATTTCATCACACTAATCAAACTAATTATACTCTTTTCATTTATTTCTCTTTATTTTTTTTCTATTAATTCAATTAACTACTTGGCATATTTTTCCTTTCCTTCTATATTTTTTGTCACTCCCTTTCCATTCAAACAAACCATTATAATTATGTATTGGTAAATAATGCATCTTTTATTGAAAAAGAAAAAGCCTAATAACTATTTTTTTTTTCAGATAAAAGAAAAAAAGGTAAAGATTCCGGTTGTACAATACTATAAGAAAAGTCTCTAATATTCTAACGTGGTTGCTGACTTTACTTTGTCTTAATTAATTATGGATAGTGTGTATGGGCATGCCAACTATAATCAATAAAAAAAAACACAGGTCTTCAATATATGTAGTGGCAGGAGTATTCTTTACCCAATACAATCAAACAATCTTTGTAGGATATATATTATAAGTATTCTTCCTAAACTTTTTAAAATTTAAAAACCTATGTCCTCACCCTAGGTCACTCACCACAAACTTCAAAAAATTCCTTACTAATAAATAGCCCTAATATTTGTGAAAGAACGAAAGAAAACCAAACACAAACAATTTTAAAAGTATATAAAATTAAATATTTTTTTAATTAAATATGTTTTTAAGGCTTGTTAATTTATGATATTTATGCGGAAATGTTTCAAACGAGGTTTAAATATATGTTTAAAATGTGTTTGATTCGTCATAAAAATTTAATACAATTAAATTAAAAAAAAACTATATATATTTATTTTTAAAATTTGAAAATCTCAAAATTTAAAATGAAAATAAATTTTAATTTTACAATCAAAATTAATAAAATAAAAACATATTTAATCTAATTATATAAAATATATACTTACTGGATTATATTGTTACTTGAACTTGATTCATTACTCTACTGACACCTTCTTTTTGTAGGACTATATCAGAGCCATTAAAAATCCATTTAGGATTTGTTTTAGTGGAATTCACGTGTCAAGAGGGGAGCTCGACACTCAGCTGATGGAAGACAGGTGTTAGCAAATGAGCGGACGTTCGTTTTGATGTTGGAAGGAAAACTTTGATTTTCAGAAATCCACGCCACTCATTGCATGCACCCTTCTTTCCCAGATTCTGAAAAATCTCATTTTTCTCCTCCTTCTCTCTACATCTCCTTCATCTTCTCTCTAAGAAAGCCTCACTGTTTCTCCTCCGATCCTCACTCAGGCAACATTTCCACTATGCCGGTGTCAAGAGCTCCAATTTGAGACGATCGATTTTGGGTTCTAAACTGGTAAGTTCTTCTTCTCCTTTAGTCGTTCGTTTTCTGGCACATGCAAACCACATTCTGGTTGCATGAGTTCATAATCTCGTTCTGACCCCATTTCTGGCCTT